TTCAGCGCTCTCCTCCCACACCATAATTCAAGGAATCAGTTCTTCTTCTTCTGTCACCCTTATTCATTGTCCAGCTCTCAGATGGAGAGCAAGTGTGTTTGAAAAGACCATGGCCTGATCAGGTGCACCTTAGTCTTTAAGCTGACATTATTGCTTGCCCAAAGCAATTTATCTTCTGATATCCTCACTGCTGGTCCCAAGTGTGTTGATGGTGGATAAGATAAAATCATTCCATTCATTCCCCACTTATCTTGATGTTGCCTATGGCCCAATGGTAAGGACCTTTGTTTTCTTGATGTTGAGATTAATCCCTATTGAAGGCTGACCCTACCTTAGGCTAAATAACAGCTGAGTTGGCCTAAAATGACCTCCTTTTTCCATTTACTGCTTAAAAGAGTACTGACTATTCCATGGCTTACCAAAGAATGAAGAGGGTCTTAGAAAAAAGGCAGCCAGAATGCTCCTCAGAGGCAGGGGTGGCGAGACTTAGTGTCACAGACTTGGAGCATGTGGTCAGGAGGGGCCAGTCGTTGGAAAAAGACTGAGAAGGGCAGGGGGTCAGAGAAAGACTTTCAGGAAGAGAGATTGACAAGATGTACCAAAGAGCCTGAGTCCATCAGAAACGGTGAGGATGGCACAGGACAGAGCCGAAGTTCGTTATTGACAGGGTTCATATGAGCCACAGTCAACCTGCTGGCACCTAATAATAAACTCAAAGTGTATTTCTCCCTTTGTGACCCAGATGTCAGCAGTTTAGAGTAATTCACTTTGCCAGGCAGCTCCACACCCTTTTGCCTCTGTACTACGGCAATGAAATAGAGACTACAGACATGGGCCCTCACCTGCTCTGAGGAGCTTCCCTGTGGGGTGGAGATTCAAACCCCGGCCTCTGGAAGCAGTGCTGTTTCTCCTGGTCAGGTGTCTTTCACTTGATCCCAGATCGGTTAGTTTCTCTGTCTCTATGTGATCCCGTATTTGGAAGGGCTTTCCCTCTTGGGTTTGAATTAAGTTTTAAACAGACATCTTTGGTCTTTAACACTTTAAAGAGTTACTTGATGGTATATTTGACCACTCCAACACATACTTTATTTCTTGATTTCTTTTACTATGGGTGTTGATTTGTGGATTCAAATAAAATGAAGTCAGTAACAACTCTGATCTTTCTCTATCTATCATGTTACTAGGGAGCTCTGGTGGTTGACAGGGGAAGGAGTTCCAGATGGTTCCAACCATCATGTACTTCATAGGAGAAAGACGAGCGATCTACTGCTGTGTGATTTACAGCCTTCGAAAACCCACTGGAGGGTCAGCTGTGAGTTCTGACTCGATGACAATGAGTTTGAGGTCTTTAGATCCTGATGACAGGTCCAGTAGTGAGAATTTTGTTTTCTTGATGTTGAGATGCAACCCATATTTAAGGCTGCACATATTCTTAAATTTCCAAAAGCAAGGTTGTATCATCTGCATAATGTAGCTTGTTCAAGAGCCTTCCTCCAAGCCTGACTCCAGTTTTCTTCATGTAGTCCAGCTTCTTGATTGATCTGCTCAGCATACAGATTGGAAATGTATGGAGAAAGGATACAGCTCTGACATGCTTTTCCTGATTTTAAACCATAAGTCTCCATAATGAAGGATCCAATGGACAAAATCCACCACTGATCTGGAACAGATTCAAGCCTTGAGTTGCAACACTTAAGAATTCTAAAGGCAAAATCTTGGATGATGATGAAAGCACCAAAAATAGAAGAAATGCACAGTACCAAAAATAAATGATCAACACGGAACCATTTCAGGAAGTAATATATGATAAATAACCAGGAGTAAAGAAGGAAGAAATCCAAGCTGCATTGCAAGCATTGGGGGGAAAAATAAGCCCTTAGGAATTGATGGAACATCAACTGAGGTGTTTAAGGGAACAGATGCAGGCCTGGATGTGCTCATCTGTCTCTGCTAACAAATAGGGAAGGCCTGGTCAACTGAATGGAAGAGACCCACACTTGTTTACATTCCCCAAAAGGTCATTAGCAGAATGTGGACATTATCACTAATATCACATGCAAGTAAAATCCTGGTGATGATTATTCAAAAACAGGTGGATTAGTACACCTACAGGGAATGGCCGTCACCTAAGAGGTATCACTGCCAATGTCAGATGGAACCTGGCTGAAACCAGAAAATGTTCACCTGTGTTTTATTGATTATGCAAAGGCATTTGACTATGTGGGTCATAATAAATTAGGGAGATGACTGGAAATCCCTGACTATTTAATTGTGCTCTTGTGAAATGTCTACAAAGAAGCAGTTGTCCAAACAGAAAAACGGAAAGCTAAATGGTTAAAAATCAGGAAAGGTGTGTGTCTGGGTTGCATACTTCCCCCATATCTATTTAATCTTCATGCTGAACTGGTAATTTGAGAAGCTGGACGATATGAAGCATGTAGCATCGGGAATGGAGGAAGACTCATCAATAACCTGCAGATGATAAAACTTTGCTCAAAGTGAGGACGACTTGAACTTACTGCGGAAGATTAAGGACTACAGCCTTCAATACGGATTACAGCTCAACATCAGCATCTAGAAAACAAAGATCCTCACCACTGGGCCAATAGGCAACATCATGACAAATGGAAAAATTATTGAAGTTGTCAATGATCTCATTTCTCTTGGATCCACAATCAATACCCATGAAATCAGCAATCAAGAAATCAGAAGATGCACTGCACTGGGGAATCTGCTGTGAAGTCCTCTTGAAAATTCTAAAGAGCAAGAAAACCAGTTTATAGACTAACATGGGCCTGACAGAGTCCATGACATTTTCAATTGCTTCCTATGTATCTGAAATTTGGACAATGAATAACGATGACAGATCAAAAATGGACACTTTTTCACTGATGTTGGTGAGGAGTGTTGTACCACGAACTGCCAAAAGAACAGACATACCTGTCTTGAAGAAGTGTAACCAAAATGCTCCTTAGAGGGAAGGATGGTGAGCCTGCATCTCACTTAGTTTGGGCATGTTGTCCGTAGGAAGCAATTCTTGGAGGGACATTGTGCTGAGAAAGGTAGAAGTTACTGCAAGAGAGGAAGGCTGTTACCAAGATCGATTGAGAGTGACTGTACGGACAGGCTTGAGCAAGACAGAGAAAGTGAGGTTAGCACGGACAGGGCAAGGTTCAGATTTGTTCTTCAAAGAGTCATGATGAGGTTGTAGTTGATCTGATGGCACCTACCAAGTGCAACATGGGCAAAACCGTAATGACGCAGGAAACATGAAAACATGAAAGGAATAGACAGTCACTGTACCCAAAAAAACTAGTCAGGGAAATACATGTTCAATAACCAGTGGTTCACAGAGCCAATGGCACTGAAGCCACTGGCAAAAAGTAATACCCCAGGAATTAATGCCAGAAAGTAGTTCATTTGATATGCTAACGTGGGAGAGAGGACTTTCCCAAGAAAGCAGGGACTGAGAGCTTGGGCTCTTAGTTGAGAACTAAGTTGAACCTGCACCTTGAGTTGGAAAATATGCATTTAAAAGGCTATGGAGACAGGGGAGCTCTGGTGGCCTAGTGGCAAGGAGCTGCAACTACAATCCCAGAGGCACACAGTTCGAAGCCACCAGATGCTCTGCCAGGGAAGGAGGGACAATCTCCTCCTGTACCAGTCAGATCCGATTTGACGGTACACTCACACAAAAATAATTTAAAAAATTTTTTAAAAAGGCTATGGAGCAGACACTGGGGGGAAATGACTACTTATACTTTTTAAGTTGTAGCAAGCCCAGAACTTCCTTCCAGGCCTGAAGTTAAAGGGAGCCAGCGGGTAAACAGCCTGGTGTGCTCATTCGAGGGGACCATGTGAGTCCAGATGAGGAGTGGAAGCAGGGACCAGGGAACGCAGCAATGAAGAATTGAGCGTGGACACGGCTCACTGGCCTTTAACCCGGCACACTGCAGGTGCTGAAGATGCAAAGGGTGACGGGTCTGAAGTGCAAGGGGCCCTGTGGAGCCTTCACTTGTGGACTCAGCCATGCAAAGCAGGACCAGCTGGTATGAAATAGGTGTATGTGCGGCCCCCAGCTGGCTGCTAGGGGAATCCAGCTTTGGGTCGCCAGAGATAACCAGCCCAAATGCAAACAAGGTTTGACAGTTTGGTGCAATCTGATGGCTTGCTCTGGACTAGTCTGTTTATGGATTAGAGGTTCAGAATTCCATTCAGAAGATAAGACTATGAGAGGGAGACGCAGACACAGCAGCAGTGAAGGACCAGGGGACATGTACCCATCAGCGCCTTGGCCTAAGGCTAGTGGAGTGTGTGGGGCCGAGGGAGGCAGACGCCCAGCTCCCTAACACCTGTCCAGCTTCCAGGGGCGGGGTGGGGCCCAGCCCTAGGACACGTGTCCTGACTCTCCGCACCACGGCCACCGTTCCTTCCAGCATCCTTTCCCCTCTGTGCCTTCCCTCGGCCTCCTCCGTCTCCCCGCACCGCCGCCTCTTCTCTCAGGGCACTGCTCTTCTCCCTTATCTCAGTTCACCCCTTCCCCGGGGGTCCCCTTTCCCTCCGGGCACTGCTCACCCAGAGTCCCACCACCGCGCCGCACGCCCGCTTCCTCCCAACGCCCCTCGGTCCGAGCCTCCCGGCCCCCATTCCTCCCCGCACCGCCCCAGATCTCCGCTTTCCCAACCCGCGCCCCTGCATCGCCCCCGACCTCACCTCCCCACACCGTGTCTCCTCCCCGCGCAGTCCCCTCCCACCCACCATCGTCCTCCCCTCGTGTTCCTTCACCCCACTCCCGACACCCCGTCTCCCACCCCCCGCAACACCCCGTTTCCCCACTAAGGCGCCCCAACTCCCACCGCCGACCGGTGACGTCCGACGCCAAGGCCGCCGGCGCGCGGAAGACGAGCCGCACCCGGATTGGTCCCGGACTTCGGGAGGTGCCCGCCCCCGGCGCCGCGAACCAATGAGGGGAAGGGGCGGGGTCGCGCAGCCGCGACGTCGCGACGCCGCGCCGGGTCTCAGCAGCTGCCTCGGAGCCGCCGGATTGAGTCGGCGACCGACCGCGCCCGACCCGCCATGGCCGAGAGCGACTGGGACACGGTGACGGTGCTGCGCAAGAAGGGCCCCACGGCGGCCCAGGCCAAGTCCAAGCAGGTGGGCGCCCCGCGGGGACAGGCCGGAGGGACGGGGGCCGGCAGGAAGGGAGAGACCGGGGCCGCCAGGCGGGGACAGGCCGGAGGGACGGGGGCCGGCAGGCGGGGAGAGACCGGGGCCGGCAGGCGGGGAGAGACCGGGGCCGCCAGGCGGGGAGAGACCGGGGCCGCCAGGCGGGGAGAGACCGGGGCCGGCAGGAAGGGACAGGCCGGAGGGACCGGGGCCTCCAGGCGGGGACAGGTCGGAGGGACCGGGGCCTCCAGGCGGGGACAGGCCGGAGAGGACCTGGAAGCTGGTGCGGATCCGGGCTCGGAGGCCATCGGTCCCGCCGTCGGGGTGTACAAATGCGGACAGCCCGAGACAGGGGCGGGGGCGATGAGCAGACGCGGCGGGCAGGGGGTGGCGGTGGGGGACAGGCCGACAGACGCTGTGCGGATGGACCCCACTTTGCCGTGTCACAGTGGCAAGAAGTCACCCAGCGGCCACCCCTGGAGTCCGGTGATGCGGTCTGATGGGCGGGAGGCCGGTCCCTGCCCCCCTCGAGGGCCCACGCGCCCCACACTCTTGGCAGGCTCCCGCTGGGACAGCCAGACCTGGGTGGTCAGTGGTCCTGTGGATCCACACCATGTAAGGGAAAACTGGTGACAGCCAGTTGTCGGGAGAAGACCTTTGAGCTTGGAGTCCGAGCAGGCTGCTTCCTGGCGATGGGAACTACATGGAAATGGCCAGCAGGTCCTCGGGGACAGCACCCGAGGTCCAGACCCCAGGCCATCTGTCTCCGTGCCCAGAGATAATGGGTAGTTTGAGAAATGAATTTCTGAACAAACCCGTTACTGTGTTCTTTTTGTTTCCAGCCCGAAAAGAAACTCGGTGTTGCACTCTCTGCTGGCCGGCTGGGCCCACTAGAGGGGGGCCCCTTTAATGTTTAGTGGCAGCTATGGCTCCCAGAGGGTTTTGTTTAAGCCAGTTATTGCAGACGTTCATTTTAACAAAAAAACCTTTTCTCATTATCTAGGCCATCTTGGCTGCTCAGAGAAGAGGCGAAGACGTGGAGACATCCAAGAAATGTAGGTGTGCTGATGTCCAGTCCCCACAGGGAACTGCGCCATGGGCACTTGGGTGTGTCCTTGCTTGCAGTGTGTGTGACCAGCGGCTGGTGTCAGAGGTGGGAGGGGTAGCGACCTTGTTAGGCTGTCCACTTCCTGAGGACACCCTGGAGCTGCCTGTGTGGATGAACTCCTTCCTGGCTGGCTGCCTGCACGGGTCTGACTGGGTTAAAGGTCACTGGTCAGAGAGCTTCCCTCGCAGCCTCACCACTCCTCTTGTCCCACTCCTGCCCCAGGGGCAGCTGGCCAGAACAAGCAGCACTCTGTCACCAAGAACACTGCCAAGCTGGACCGGGAGACAGAGGAGCTGCACCACGACAGGGTGACCCTGGAAGTTGGCAAGGTGATCCAGCAGGGCCGGCAGAGCAAGGGGCTTACGCAGAAGGACCTGGCCACGGTGAGTGCAGGCCGCTGGGGCTGTGTCGGAAGACAGCCTGTGGACCCTGAGGCACTGTAGGGGCCTACTGGGCATGTCCCCCAGTGTGTGTGGCCGTCCTTCATGGCTTGTCTTCTCTGACCATTTCTCTAGAAAATCAATGAGAAACCGCAAGTGATTGCTGACTACGAGAGTGGGCGGGCCATCCCTAACAACCAGGTGCTGGGCAAGATCGAGAGAGCCATTGGT